AAATTCTCTATATGTTTAGCGCATGTTTCTAAATTCCCCTCCTCCGCCCACGCTCACCTCCCCTTCCCTTCCTTCCCTCTCTTTCTTCCCTTCCCTAACTTCTATCTTTTTTCGGATTGTTGATAGTACGTTGGTGATTCGACGAGAGGAGATTTACTGAAAATGAATATGTTTTCATATATTCGAATTACTAAATCAACACTTGATCTCTATTTATTGTTGTAACTATTTTTAGAAGGAAACTCCTTCCTTTATCCCTTTCTTCGCTCCTACCCCTCCTCGTCCTTCTGCCCTTTCTTCCTCCTTATCTAACTCTAAAGAGTATTAATGATTTTTCTCTTTCACCCTTAAATCCTTTTCCTTCTCTATAGAGCAAAGCTTCGAGGCTATTGCAAAGTCAAAGTGATAGTAGTAGTGGTCGTAGTAGTAGTAGTAATAGTAGTAGTAGCAATAATCATATTCTGTCTACCTGAATTCTATATATTCTTTTCTTTCCATTGCTTTCTTTTTCATTCATCATTTCCCTTTTTCCCGATCCATCAATGGTAATAAGTTGTTGGTAGGGAGAAATATCTTTTCATTCAAATTAATTGAAAGGCTGCCTTTGAATAGGCTGCGCATCATGGCGTAAAGAAGAATCGTTTTCAAAGATGGCATTTCTAACAAAAAGACTACTGATTTATTAGCCATAAATCACCTCAAAAACAAGTATCGTTCGAATATAGCCCGCCCTACACGCCCATTTTTCCTACTTTCGCAAGGGTCCGTAATATAGGCCCAAAAATGACGTGTCGAAAGAATCTTATGCAATAAAAGGGAAGAAAGTTTACGCTAAAGGTTATTTCGGTCAAAAAAGGCTGTTTAACGTGCTGATCTACGAGGTCATCAACTGGTAAAACGATACAAACTATTTTCATACCAGTTTTCCTTTTTTTTCTTTCTTTCTTTTTCTCTCTCTATCCCTGTTCTGTCTGTTTTTTTATTCTGTTATCAAGATTATTCGTTCCCCCTTATCAACCTCGAATTGCCGAGTAAAACGGCGGAAAAATACTGTCGATCACGTGATATTGAAATTGCTTTTTCCTGGGAGTAAAACCATGATTAAAACACCGACAAACTATTTCGGAAATCGCCGACGATGCGTGAAATAAAGCGTGACGAGAGAGGATAAAATAACTGTTTGTAGTTAGCGTACGGAATTTTAAAGACCTTACTCTAAAAGCGTTTTATAAACTACATAAGTTACGAGTTTCTCCTACCGACCAAATCTGCTTCCCTTTCTTACTAGCATTGAAGCTTTTATCAGCCCATTCCCTCTCTATACCCATCTTCAATTTTCTCCCTCGTTCTCTCTTTCTATCTCTTGTTTCGTTCACAGACACTAAATCCTTTGTTATCAATCGACCAGTAGATGGCGCAATGGCCCGATATGCAAAAAAACTTCCCCAACTCTTTTACCTATCCACAATTGGATTTGTTGTTATTTTGTTGAGTAGTATAGAGCATAACGCTTAGACAATAGCTAATCTTATGGAGGATAAAAGAAGAGAGAGAGAAGAATCGTAGACAAATAGATACACGCTCAAAGTGTCGTATTCGCACGCATGTACAATCCTGTATATACTATATATATATATATATACAAACGTAGTGTAGCGTCACGTTTCGGGCGTCGATATTAGAGTGACGAGCCGATAGGATATTAGGGTAGAAGACAAATAGAAAAATGCAATAAAATTGTTTCTATGATTTTCCCAATGTTTACTCTATATTGGTTAAAACTATTTGAAGATAGAGATTACCGTATATTGTCCATCAATGAAACAATAAAGAAAAATCTAATTAAACGTTGCCAGTATAAGGAAGGAGCATTTTTTCTTTTCCTTTTCTTAGTCAGTCGATTTCTCTCTCTCTCTCTCTCTCTCTCTCTCTTCCTTTATCGTTACTCATTTCATTTTATCCAACCGTCATCCATCCAACCATCGATCCATCCTTCTCTCCTTCCTTCCTTCCAACTATCCAACTCTCTTCTTCCGTAAAAGATTAATATTATTGTTATTGGCGTTATTACTATTATTTCTATTTGCACCTGCTTGAACTTTGAAGAAAAGGTTTAACCTTCTGCTAACGTCATTTTTTGCCCTACAATTATGAAAACGATAACTCTAGCAAATGAAGAGAACTTTTTCTCTTCTCATTCTTATATTTATGTACATTCTTCATCTGTACAGAGTAGACTTTTGCACGTATCCGCCTCTTCCTTAAAACGGCTCCGAGTGCAAAAAAAAAAAAAAAGTTATCCAGTGCGCTTACCGTACATAATATGACGTTTCTCTTGACAAGGTGCTCGAAACAGGCTTAGGCTTTTATCGAGTAGGCCTAGCCGGATATAATCCAACCTGTAAAGCGTTTATCTAGCGTAAACTGTTTATGCTAATAGATAGAATAAAATGAATGGATGGATATACGAATGAATGAATGAATGAATGAAGGAGAAAAGTACTCATTATACAGTAAATTAAACATTTGGTAAGGCTGAAAAAAGACGAGCCGGACTCTGCAAACCGTATTATACACATGTTTTCAGCTTAGCGCCAAAGCCGTTCTTTTTCTAGCGAACGCTGCCAGACTACCCCGATATGAAAGGTTTAGTTTCCAAACATTTTCCGACCTTTCACTCAATTTATCATAACCGAAGACGGATATGCGAAAAATCGTTTAGAAATTAGACTCTTATAAAAACCATTGAAAATATCTACAAAGGCGTCAGGTACATGGCAATACATGGCACGTATGCCACTGCCGCTACTGCTGTATATAAAATAGGAGACGGTGATGACGATCGTAGCTGGAAAAATGGTTTATCTTCTCTATTGTCTTTTATTCTATAGTTGAATAGACTGACTATATTGAAAAAGTACTCGTAGGAGAAATTGAATTTGAGGGTGCGTGCAAAAATCCATCTGATTTTCGATTGTGTAAGTTGCCCTTGGGCAAAACTGGAAAAAATTGCAGTAGTGAATGCGATAGATTTTTGGCGACAATTTCTTTCCTTGTCGTTAGACGCTTTTCTCGTAAAGGTTATTAATAAGGCTCTGACTAGTTGTAAAGGCTTTATGGGCGTGGTAGAATCGAGTGCAGAATCTATGACTATGTCTAATCTCACAAAATTCACCGAATGTGTAATTAAGGGCTTTGTCGTTGTTTCAAAAGGAACAATCTAACAACTCCTCTACATAATATATTACTAATTTCTCATAAATCAATTAAACGGCAATTTATCGTAATCCCATCATTATGATTGTCATTACCATCATTATTGCAGTGCTTATCGTTGTCACTAGTATTGTCCTCCTATTGTATATTTATCTCATTTTATACTTTTCTTTCCAACACTTTATTACATTCTCGTTTCCTTTGCCACCCTTCGCCGTCGTTTTCCATCTATCTTTGCTATGAAATGTTAATACTTTCTCCTATTACCAAGAATCGAAAGTCGCCAATGGACTCGGCTAATAATGTCAAGGGAAACGATGCATACACAAAAACACGCGTGCACTAAGCATATTTCAGCATGGGGACGGAATTATTGAATTTTCAGCCCGCAAATGCCTGCTAGACAACATGTGACAAATCTTGTTAGCTACCCTAAAAGCTAGAGTATATAGTCATAATTTTCACTCGCCCACTCTGTCCAACTGCCTCTACATCAATCGACTATTTTCTTATCTTCCTTTACCCTTCTCCTTCCTCTAGCTCTTCTTCTTCTTCTTCTTTTCAGTATTAGCATTAATATTGGCACTTTTTTTAACCCTTTCATATTTTCCAATTTCTCAATTAATCTCTTTTCGATTAGGTTCCTTTTTATCTCTCCTCAGCCTCATCGTTCCCCCTCGCGCCCCTTCCCCCTTCCATATCCTTTAATTTATATTCAGAACGACTCTCCCTTCTCTTTCTCACATATTCTCTCATTTTTTCTAATCATTCTTTCTTTATCTCATTTCGTCTTTAAACATTTCATTCATCCATCCATCCACCCACCAACCTATCCGTCCATCCATCCATCCATCCATCCATCCATCCATCTATCTATCCATTCACCTGTCTCTGCCAATCTATTTTTCTCTATTCCCATATATCTTGTAAATAAAAAAAATTTTAAATATGTATAGGGTGATTATATGATATAACGTGATTAACTTTTCTCCACCCCCAATCCCGCCCACTCTTCGACATGCCCATATTCTTTTCTGCTTCCCCTATTTGCTATTTAATCGGTCTATTGTCTTTTAAATCCGCCTTTTCTCCCGCTCTAACGCCTATGTAAGCCGTTCAAGCGTCTAAAGACTGGAAAATTACAATAATAATACAGAAGCGTCAATAATGTTGTTCGTTAGCGAAAAAGACGACTAGTGCCATCTATATCAGCATTATTTAGAAATGAACTACTGCGTTTAATTGTCTAGAATGAAAGAAAGAGTTACAGAGAGGCGAAACTGTCAATTCTTGTTATTACTAGTTAATTAGGGTATTTAATAAACGCTTTGGCGAAAAGACCTGAAGAGATACAGATGCAATTAGATTATTAATTATTAATTATTAAAACTATTAATAGAAACAAAACGTATAAACTACCTTGTTTATTTTTGTGTTTCAGTGCCTGCAACCTTGCAGTCCGCCTTTTGTTAATCTAAAAACGTGTGAAGAGCTGTGCGTTGTAAGTATCTATCTGTTTCAGTATTCAGTATAAAGGTCTATCGTTAATGAACAGTCGATTAAAAGCAAGTTTTTATTATTTGTTCTCCGTAGACAATTAGAGAGATAAAGAAAAAAGAATCTTGCAAAGTATCATGCAGAAAATTATCAAGCTTTCGTGAATCCAATTGGTTTCAATTTTTTTATAAAAAAGGTAAATTCTCTATTTTTTTATTAAATAGATGCTTAACTACTCTTATTGGTCTTTTATATTTCTTAGGTCCGAGTCCTCCTAGACGTGTCGAGATGGAAGTTGCCAATGATAATATATATATTAAATGGAAAAAATCTATTAGTCCAACTTCTAAGCCTCTTTCTTACGTTGTTTTCTCTAGATATGTTATATCTCCTCTCCATAAGCCTATTCATAAAGATGACTACTCCGATTGGATGACTGCTCCGTCGAGTATAACCCATTCGCAGCAAATATCCTTTCCGGCCAAGCCGGGCCGTTTCTATAAATTCTACGTTAAAGCTGTTAGCGAAGATGGTGCTAGCGAGGCCAGTTATGCAAAAGAAGGCCAAGCCGTTCGACTAATCAGGGAACCATCCTCTCCGGGAAGCGTCAAAGATTTAGAAATGGTTGGAAAGCTCACCGAGGATGGAAAGAATACAATCGTTCTGAAATGGAAAGAGCCGATTGATAGTGATCTACCAATTGACAGCTATAAAATCAAATATCAAAAGATGAAGAAACGTCGAAAGAATAGACAGAGAGATTGGATGATGGACGACGCCGGCTTGAAATCGCCTACCTCCGAAAGAAGGAGGAGAAAGAGACGGCACGAAGCAAGAGTTAGCCACAACGAGGATAAAGAGCAAAAGTATACATTGAAAAATTTATCAGCAGGCTCTTTTGAAATATCGGTAAATAACTATTCATAGACGGTGACAAACTAATGAATTCTCTATCTACAAATCGTCATTTCCCCTATTAACAAGTACTCCCCCCTCGCCCGCTCTCATCCCATCTCTTTCCTCTCTTTTTCCTTTTTAATGCCTTATTTATCAGTCTTAGCCTTCATCTTAACCGTTACTCAATATATCCGTCTAGTGCATATATCTGTTACTCGCAATGCATCTTACTCTTTTTTCTCATCTTCCTTTAGGTGTCTGCCATCGCAAAATATGGTCACAGTTCATTGGAATCTAAACCTAATACCATTGTCGTTGATCTTCCCCAAACTTCATTGGGTTCATTTCGGCATAAAGGTGAACTATACAATTTAAAATATTTGGGTAAAAAGGTGAATAAATACTGATTATCTAATAGTTTTCTTGTTTACAGATAGAAGAAACAATCTGCCAAAAGTTACCGGCTTAACCCATAGTCGACCTTTATACGATAAGAAGGATGGTTTAATATTTAATATAACTTGGGAAGCGCCAAAAACTAGGCGCAAGTTGAAAGCCTACAAAGTAAAATGGACTTTTAAAGGATGTTTGAAAACTGCAACCACAAAAATCTCTGGCCACGTTCTAAGAAAAGTAAGATGATATTCTATTGAACGAAAACAGAGCGAGAGAGAGAGAGAGAGAGAGAAGCGCACATGAAAGAAACGAGAAAAAAGATAGAAAGATACATTCTCTTTCCTATTCCTTTCTCTCTCTCTCCCTCGCTGTCTGTTTTCTTTCCAATTGTACAAGTTTCTTATCTTTTCTCATTTATTCTTATAGAAAAATTATCACGTGTTCAAAAATTTACCTTTTCAATGCAATATCAACGTTGAAGTTTCTTACGAAACAAAGTCTAAAAAATCTACTTTTTATTCTCTTCCGGCCAATTACGAATTTAGTACGGGATCATGCATGGATGTGAAAATGGTCTATCTCCTAAAAGATTCGCCAGACGCCTGTTCCGACAGTAAGTTTAATTTTAGAGCGTTTACACTATGAAACTCTGAATTTATCTATGTATTCTGGATGAGTTTTAGGGTCTAGTCTTAATTTTTCTAATATGACAATCGATCAACAGACAATTCGTCCAAGACTGAGAAAGCCGTCCCGGAGGACTTGCGTATATCTAACGTTGTCAAGTTGAGGAATAGAAAACAAAAGACGATTATATTAAAAATTCAATGGAAACCTCCGTCCAACAAAAACCTTAATCCGTATAAATATAGGGTTAGTTGGAATCCCGTATCAAAAAATGACGAAGAGGAGAAGAGTTCGGCCGAATATCGAGTTGTTAAAGCGGTAAGTACTACTCACGGAAGCCGATCTACTACTAGTAGTCCTACTTACGTTGTCTAATATCGTTTTTTCCACTTTCTACCATTTTTTAGAAGAATGGGCTAAATACTGTTACAATAGAGAATAGCGTTAGACAAAAGACAAACTACAGAGTATCTGTCGAATCAATATTTAAACTAGACGGTCGATTGGTGTTTAGTAGGCCAGTAGTTCGGCAGCAGAAAACTCCAAATTTGGGCTTTGGATCATCGGGTAAGTAACAGTAGTAGCAATCGCAATAAAATAGCAGTAACAGGGAAAAATGAAGAGGAAGATGATAGATGAGATTAACTTATTTTTTTCTCTTTTTTTTCCCATTAGATTTCTATCTAAATAAAAGAAAAAATAGAAAGCGAAAAAAGAATAAGAATAATAATAGAAGTCATCAAAAACATCGACCAAACTCTACAATAAATGAAACAATTGCAAGAAGTGAAAATTCTGTAATAGTACAATCTAACCGAGCATTCGGTAGTAGCTCGAGTAAACTGCAATATCAAGTGAACGTTTTATTATTGACAATTGTGTTGTTTATAGTTGTTAGATAAGAATAAGCAGAAGAAGAAGAAGAAGAAGAAGAAATGGAAGAAGAGAAAAAAGAGAAAGAAAAAGAAGAAAATCAATCATTTAATAAGCAATTGTAATTTTTTTTTTGTTTTTCTCTTTCTCTTTCTTTCGTCAAATGTTTTTAATGTTAAAAAAAAGGATAAAGGAAAAAATAAAGCATAATGTGATGTTCGAAATGCAGTCATTTCAGTAATAATGAAGAAAAACAAATAAAAATCCTATGTAAAAATGAGTGAATGAGAGAGAGAGAGAGGGATGGGGAAAAGTATAGAGAAAGTTTTATCCTTCTCCTGCTTTCTTTTGTTAAAATAAAAGAAGGAAAAAGAAGGAAATCTTGATTCATTTAATTCTTTTATTATTCACTTTTAAATCATTAAACTCTTATTTTACTAGTAAACTTATACTTGTATGAATAAACATTTCAACATATACTATATAGAGTATATACAAATACATGTCCTGTACATGTTTTAGTGAATAGGATTAATTTTCTTCTTTTTATTATTTTTTTTTGCAGTCGTGGTGCTATAGTTGGCTTTTTTTTTCTTTATAAAAACAAAAATGCCCGTCTACTGTCTATTATTAATAATGATGAAAATGAGCTTGTTTTCTATTTGAAAAAGTACAGTTTCTACGGTATTGTCTTATGTTTTTCTTTTCTCTTTTATTACTATTATTATATAATTTATAATTACTTTTGTTATTAATATCATTAATATGAAACTATTTTTAAATGTGAATTTCTATCGATTTTACTGTTTAAAGCCTATTGTATATATTTTCGTATACAATATATACTGTATATATTCATATATTCATATATTCTTACTATTACTTACTTTGCTATCTATCTATCTATCGATCCATCTATCCATCTAAGATTATAAACGATATATAAATCAGTTAAAGGAAAATAGAATACAAGGAAAGTTTAATTCAAGTCTCTAACGACGAATGGCGAAAACGAAGCGGGTCAACCTCCGAAAACAATTACAAACAAACAAATATTCTATATACAAATGAATAGGTTTTTCATCCTATACTTTTACTATCTTTATTAACAATCTTAGTCGTTTGTTTGCCTTTGAGAATTTTTAGTCCTCTTCTTCATCGCCCAACCGCCAATCAGGGCTGAAGATAAGATTTGTAAGATACCCGACGATACGAACGAGGCCACCCATTTTCCAGTGAAATCGCGTAGAAAACCTGCGAGCGTGATGGGAGAGTGAGAGAGAGAGAGAGAGAGAGAGCGAGGGAAAAAAAAGAATATATTCTATAGGCCTTATTAAAAAGGAAAAAAAGTCAAGAAAAGAATGAATCCAATTACCTATAAATGGAAAATACAACAACAACATAACTCCTTGACCGAATAAGACCATTGGAAAGGCGGTAGGAAATTTAGGTAAAGTCAGTTCTTCTATCAAAATTACAGGTATAAAAGCCAAAAAACAACCGGAGAAGAAGGCGTAAAGAGCAGTTGAACTCAGAATTGACCATAAATTCGTTAAAAATGGCATTAGAAAACAAGATATTAAACCTCCGCATAGAATTGATGTAAAAAATACTGTATGTAGTTTAAACCAATGAAAATCTCCTAGAAATCCAAATATCAAACGGCCCAAAAGATCAGCTAAAGAGGCGACTGAAACTAGTAAAGCGCCTTGAAATTCGCTAAATCTTAAATCCTTTGCGTGAGAGGGTAAAAGGACGTAATATGCGGCGTTTCCCGCATTCGACATTGACATTGCCAAGAGTAGAATGAGAAAATTAAAATTTTTCAATAATTTCCCATCAAACAACTGTTTGCCGGCAGTGGAAGAATTCTTTCCACCTCCGGGCTCTTTTTCTCCTTCTTCGTCTGCCTTATAGGCGTAGGAAATTGCCTCTACCGAACTCATTTTTCTACGGATGGACGCGCTCTGAGAGACAACTTTCTTAACGCCAATTCCATCTAAAATGAAATTTTCCATTCCCCTATTATTCTTCGACAAGCAATTCAAACTTTTCGACTTTCCTCTCTCCCCCAGTACCGCCTCTTGGCCGTCGTTGTTGCCGTCGCCTTTGCAATTCTTGTCGACGTCTACAACGTTTTCGGATTCGCTCTTGGAAACTATTCTAAAAAGAGTAACCGAAACTTCGCTATCGCTTTCGTCCTGTTGATGGTCAGTTTGGGTGGTTGTCTTTTTCATTTTTAACCCTGACCCACTAAAGTAGGAAAAGGGACGGAGAAAAGCCCCAAAGACGGTAATCTGAAGGCTTATTGATGCTATACAGATAAGTGTCGTATAGAGGCCAAAGTTGGCCAGTAATTTGTCATATAATAAAGGAAAAATAAGGCTGCCGCATCCTGTACCGGCAACCGCTAATCCGTTAGCCAAACTCTTATACTTGGTAAAGTAGGAGTTTAGGGTGATTATAGTCATAGTATAGCTCATACCAAAGCCCAAACCTATAAATAAACGAAAAGTGGTCAGATGGATTCGGTTGGATCGCGTTGCGTAATCGGCAGCTGTACGCGCTCTTTTAGCGGTATTATGTTATTAGTAAGTATGTATGTATGTATGTATGTATGTAATCGGGTATATATATATATATATATATATATATATATATATAGATAGATAGATATGTATGTATACTAATAGATATACTGAACATGTTTACATCCATACCCACCGGTTAAAAATCCATACGTAATGAACAGCAATTTAACATTATATATCGCAAGGTAAGCGCTCAATAAATAGCCCGAGCTACTTAAAATCCCCGCCACCATGATAATTGGCCTATTACCAAATTTCGAACTCAAACAGCTCGAAATAATTCCACTAGCCATGGCAAAGAAACCATTTACAGCCATAATCCAAGATGCACCAACTCCAAGTTCTCCATACGTATAGATTATCTCTCTTATGATTACTCCAAACGATCTAGCGGAACCCAATGAAAGAAAGGTAATACAGACGGCATCTGAAATTCGTAAAAAGAACCTTTAGTTCATTGTCAGTCCAATAGAACAAACTCCAGAGGGAAACTTACTCAGGGCGATAATCCAAGCGTAGCCTCTATCCTTATAATTAGCATTCGATTTCATAATTCTAATAGAACAGAAGCGATTCTTTAAACTTCTCAAACGGATTAATTTTAAGCCTATATAGGATTTATATAAAGCATATATATAAAATAGATATAAATATCAAGACCAGTCTTAACCGACAACCCCACAAGTAGGTAGCATTAGTACTAGCAGTAGTAGTAATAGCGGAAAAAATTGGTAGTCATTGTCGTAGTCGTATTAGCAGTATTAGGAGTAGTAGCAGCCGAGGAAGAAGAAGGAGGAGGAGGAGGAGAAGAAGAAGAAAAATGATGAGGAAGAGTAGTAGGTTTAATGATTTCAATTAAATATATACATATCACTAGGAAATCATGCTGTATATATATGATATGATTTAATACTTCTAGTTATACACTGCACTATTATAGAATATAGTAATATTCATAAAAAATAGCTATATATATATACTGTATGTATTATATATTGTATATTAATATATATATCTATATACTGTGCAAAGTAGAGAATCGTTGGTAGAGTTATATTTTATATTGGTTCTATACAAACCAGCACAATGTAGACACCTCGGCCCTTCTGTTTACAAAGCATACAACAAGTTTTTGAACGTATAAGGACAGAAAAGGAAAGAGAAGAGAAGAGAGCAGAGAGAGAGAGAGAGAGAGAGAGAGCTTTATAAGTTTTTCCCACCTTTAAATACTTTTCTTTATTCTATATTTGTTCACATCCAACACCAAAAAACAAAAGAAAATAAAAAAAAACTCACACGATAAGCTTTCAAATATGTTTTTGTAGTAAATTACTTTAAATTAAATGCATCTCTACCGATTCAATACAAAATTTACTTTTCTTCTCTTTCCCTTCAATCTTCATTTTCATCTCTTCCCTCTTATATAAATTATATACCTCCTTAATTTCTTCTCTCTATATACAATGCAATAATCCAACAGTTAATTTGATTATTAAAGTGAATCATCTCCATATAATTTTCGTTCAATTCCCGTTATTCCACTTAGTCGTTGTTTGTTTTCGCTCTTTTCCCCTACTCTTATATCTCACTTGTGTGTTCAGTGTATAGGAATATGGGAGAGTGAACAAGGAGGGTATTCTTTCTAAGGTTGTTTATTCAAAATAAAGAACGAGTTTAAAGTGTTGGTTTTCTTATTTCTAGGGGAAAATTTTAAATTAAACCCAATAAAAGACACATCATTAAAGGTTTCTAAAACTTTTGCACTCTTTGCTTTTCTCTTTCTATCTTTTCTATCCGTTCTATTCATTTCTTTAATCGCTCGGCATCATTCCGCTTTTTTAGGCTATTCTCTTTTCATATTAATAAAAAATTAATAAAAATGTATAAGGGGTTTTAGCCAATAGACCAAGACCTTAGTCGGCAAAGCTTTAGCGCTTCAATAGAAAGATAATCAATTAAAATCATCCAATTTTTCCGTCGTTTTTCTTCTTTATGTCGTAACCCTGTCCGCTTTTCGTTACACCCTTCTTCTTCTTCTTCTTCTTCTTCTTTATCCTCCTTTTCTCGTTTTTCTCCCCCCCCCTCTCTCTCTCTCTCTCTTGACAATCCTAAACGCGTAGTGATTAAGAGAAACAGTTTGTAAAAGTTTGTTACGAACTATGCGCATGGAAGAGAGAAAATTTCACGGATTTACGCCTCATAATCGTCTTTCTTCGTTATTTCATTTTATCTGCTTTTAGCGAAGAGAAAAAAAAGTCTGTATAATTGCTTTCATTACCATTTTCTACTCGTCGACCTTCTCTTTCTTAGCAGAAGGGAAGAATATTAGAAGAAAAGAGTGAATTTTTTTTTACTCATTTATTCTACAGTTTCTATTTGTGCTTGTTAAAAGAACAATAAAAGACGACATATACAGTATATACAGTATATATATATATATATATAATTATATACTGTAGACTGTATATAAACTGCATATATACATTTAGTACTAATATATATATACAGTACATTTTATGATTTCTTTTCAAATAGGCTAAATAAACTGTTATAAAAGTACTTTATAATCAATGACGATGTACGAAAAACTCATTTTGCAAAGTCATCGTTACTCTCTTGCTACAAACGTCTGAAGGAAAGGGATAGAGAATGCACCTATGAAGCAGCTTGTGGAGAAGTACCAATATCTCCCTCTGCTGGATATCTTCCGTTTTCTGGAACATTAATCATTTCCTGACCCTCTTCCGTGTCTTCCTCCTCTTTAGCCCACGGTTGGAGGTCACCTGACCCAAATATAATGAAAACGATAGCTCCTGAGCTGAGGAGAGCGGCCGATAGAAAGAAGACTATCATCCATTGAGAACTAACGCTCTGGTAGAGAGTAGAAAAGTACAGTATAACGAAAGAAAAAAGGGAAAGGGAATGGGAGAATTTTACGAATATACGCAATTATTAGAAAGTGAGTAATTACCGCAACGTTGGTTCTTATAAGTCCAACAACGCTGGGAGATACTCCCGCTATAGCACCTATCATATTTGAAATGCCGAATAGGGTTCCAGCATATTTCGGAGCAATATCCATATGATTAACTAAAAATCCAGAATACTGGCAACCGCTTAGAGTCACTCCAGCTACCAATAAGGCTATCGTTATCTTATAAGAGCTACAATCGGTAAACGGTATTCCGATCAGGCAGATGGCAGCTCCGAACGCTCCTAGCAAACAATTTATAGTTTTCATTTAACGTCTTATTGTAATTAATCTATCTGATGTAATAGATTTGGATTATCATGTATTTTATCAAACCTATTGAGGTCATTAATTTTCTAGTTAACCCAACCGATAATTTATTGGACGATATCAAATAGTCGGCAATAATAGGTGATATATTCATATTTGCCCATAAGCCGACCCAGGGAAGAGCCGAAAACAAGCCGTTCTGTTGGCAGGTGAAGAGTACAATGCGAAAAAGAGATTGTACGAATAGTGTTTTAAAGAACAGAAACTTACAGATCCCAGATCGAACTTGAGGACATCGTTTAAGAATGTTGGTAGAACAGTTAGAAAGGTATATAAACCCCAATCGGATGTAAAGTTTGCGAAACAAATCGAAAGTACTGCCGGTGATCGAATAAACTTTGTCCAAGGAGTGACGCTCTATCAAAGAACAAATCATTATTCAATGTTTTATTCAATTTTATCTCTATCCTTTTTTCCTAGCTATACTTTGATTTTTCGTTAATTTGACATTCTATCTATTCCTAACCTTTTTAGATTTATCCGATACCTGACCTTTTAACGAATCTATTATGTAAGATTGCTCTTCTTTTCCTATGAACCTGTGATTGGATGGGCTATCGCTAACGAATACTATCCATAAAATGAGCCATAGCGCCGATGTTATACCTTTAATAGATTAAAAATCGGGATATATATTATGATATGTTGGTAACTGATCGATTGACTTGTTTATTTAATAGTTCCATTACCCAATAGGTGATTACCTGTTATATAAAAGATGGATGGCCAACCGCCAGCAAATCCGTGTTCGCACAGAGCTCCGGATGTTGCCAAGGAGAGGACACTGCCCATCATTGCCCCTAAATTTACATTTTATATGGCTATTTGTGAAATTCAACCTTCAACTATAACGTTTACTGACCGGCGTAGGAAATTGACACTAGTTTTGACCTCTCCATCGGTGGAGCCCATTGACCCCAAATTGCGTGCATTATTGGAAACACCGCTCCCTATAGAAGATATAACAAAGAGGATATCAAGAGATAACGGTAAAAGAAGATAAATAATAGATTATTATCTATTCTATGCATGATAAGGGCACGAGGAAAAGAATGTGTAACCGTAACGCTGGTAATGATGGTGATCGACAATGATGATTGGGGAAGGCGAAGCAAAGAGATTTTCAACATACCGATCCAAATCCAACAAGAATTCTACTAATTAAAACGGGAACGAAACCTAGATGAACCCCTAATGGTGTTAATAGAGTGCCAATTGTCCCAATAGCAGTAAAAAGAGCAAAGATCCTCTTTCCACCGAATATTTCAGCCATTCGTCCTCCAGGTATTTGGGAGATGATATATCCATAGAAGAATCCAGAGAGTATGTGGCCTTGTTCACTCTTACTATAGATGTACTCTCCTTCCTACAATAAAAACAATAACCTTGAGAATGTTGATTTTTTGAACGGGGAAACTGGCATTGATAAAGAGTTATAGCATTCAATTAGAGAAGATGCGTTCAAACAAAGGCAAACATAGAGAGATAGAGAGAAGAACGTAGATGAATATTTTAATAGTTAACTATTCCCTATTTTCTAGTTTGGATGGTATTTTTTTCATTAGCCTCGTAAAAAATATCTATTTTCTTTAAGGATATATTCGGTACAACCTAACCGGGTTAAGCCGTACGGAATAGGATCCTTCTTTTCAAGCGAATTACCCTCTTCTTTTCTCTAGTATTCTACCAATGGACTTTTAAGGGGAATTGAACAATTGTTAAATTATAATTGAAAATACTCCTTACCGGCTTTGAAACATTGGCAGTTGTTGAGTGGTGGCATTCCGATTCCGATTCCGATTTCGATGAATTTATTTCTTTTTCATATTTTTCACGAACGCCAGTATGATTGACAAAACAAACTACAGCAACGCTAATTCCGGTTCTTTGCGAATAAATGTTAACAAAGCCCATAAAGGCGATAATTGCCAAGAGAAGTCTAAAAGAGCAAATTAACTTTGGAATCTTCTTTTCTATATTTCAGTTTTAATTGGAAGAGAGATAGAAGAAACACAATTATCGATCGTTTGCTTTTCTATTTGAATCGATTTATAAATCTTATCGATAAATATATTAACAATGCAATAGTTGCAATAGTCGTTACCTATATAATTAATTCAATACTAATAATATAAAATAACAAACAACTCACCTGAAATATCTTTGTCCATCTTTTCTGATTATCTTCTAAATCTGTTTCTTTCTTTCAACTTTCAACACTCTTTTGATTTCCTTCTAAAAAATCGTTATCAACTTACTTTATCAAAACAATTAAACAATAACACCGAATAAAGAAAACTCCACTTGAACAGTTTAATTAAAAAAGGTCTTTTCTTTTCATTTTCATTCAACTCTTTTGACCTTGAACTTTTCTGCGAGTGTTCATGTGTATGTGTATGTTTCTTTATTCAATTTACGAAATGATATTTATATAGAGAGAGGAACTGCAAATTGTGATAAAGAAGAAATAGTTTGACTTTACCTCTGTAAAAAGCGATTTGAAATATCTTTTCCTTTTCTCTCTATCTTTGTATTTTTCCTTTTTATCTTCGAGGAGCAAACTATTGTTTGGTCCAAGTGTTTTTTTTTAAGTGTTGAAATATTGTAGAAAGTTAGTTAAGAGGCAAGAAATAAAAGACAATCAACTTTATTTTAGAGCTTTTTTGCGTACAAAGGCCTTTTTGAACCAAACAGGAGCAACATTTGGTCCAATAAAATTTGACATTAAACTGATAACAGCGTAAAAACATATGTTTCTTGTAAAGCCCTTCTTTATATCTCTGTCTCAGTCTCTTTGTCTCTCTGTCTGTCTGTCTCTCTCTCTCTCTCTCTCTCTCTCGCTTTTATCTCTTTCTTGTCTCTGTTTTTTCAAATGTAATTAATTTACGAGCGGTAAAAGAAATATATCTATCTCTCTAGTTTTGGTAATAATCCGGAGCTACTCTACTTTGACTATATACCGCTTCCTTAATATCTCTTCTTCATCTTCTTCCTCCTCTTCTTCTTCTTCTTCTTCTCCTTCTTTGTAATACGCCTATCTGCTGAAATTATTATCTGCTTCCCATTAAGAACTAACTTACATGTAAAAGATATGATAAATGTTTAGTTTATTCATTAATAAAATCCAATTAATTCTACTCATTCAATTCATCCTATCCTATTTAAGATGGAAAAAGGAACAAGTTACTACTCTAATCGATAGAACTCTTTAAGGATAAAGATAAGAAATGAAGTATTTACGATATTAGCCGAATATTAGAAAAACTATATTTAAGTAGGCTGTTTCATAAATAAACTGAGAGGTCACGTTCTCTTTGAACTTAACAAAGAAAGAGAGAGAGAGAGAGGAAGAGATTAACTGAATTTGAATGGAAAACTTGAAAATATATAACAAGGACTATAAAACTAAAAAAAGAAACAATCGTAGACTACTCTACTTCATATAGATGTTAGTAACTAAGGGAAATATTTGTAGTTTTAGGTATAGATTATAGATTAAAACGCTATACCTAACATAGTCTGTTTATTATTTATTAGAGGGGAAGACAACAATTCGTAACGAAATTTGAACTATTTATTTGTAGATTTTCTCAATTTCATAAATGATGAGGAAGAGGAGACAAAGGGGAACCGCCCAATTGAAACTCTCGCTCTATTTGACGATTTACTTTTCTGTCTATTCATATCGATCTCTCCCTCCCTTCCCCCTCTTTCTATCGCTACATCTTCCTCCTTAAGAGATGACTATCTTACGGATAGTTGTATTACCATTTCCTTTTATCCATAGATCGTCCATCCTTTTTCCGTCCTCTTTCAGAGCAATTATCTCGCACTTTTCCCTTTGCGCCTTGGCTCTATTAAATCTCAACATTGACCGTACTCGACCGTTACTGACGTTATTGGTCTGTTTGTTTGTCTTTTTTAGAGGAAGTTGATTACTGTTAGATTTGAATTGTGGAGAAGAAGACACTGCGGGCGTCGTTGTTGGCGATTGAATCTTTTCGTTAGAACAGAAAATAGGTTTATGAATTTCTAAAAAATTAACGTTTTTCTCCGAAAAGAATAGTTTGTTTTCCCTCTCAGCCGACGACATTGACGATTTATAATTTTTACGATTCGACTGTAGAGGTTTTCCATATATTTTACGATTAAATTTTGGTCTAATTACCGGGGTTACTGTAAGAAAATTGGCTCCTTGCTGTTTTGCGGCAAACGAAGGCATATATCTTGATTTATTAGCTCTATTAAAAGGTGTTGTAGATATTATAGAGTGCAAAGATGTTTGTCCTAAAGGAGTTTTACAATTTCGCTTTCCGCTTCCTTTTCTATCATAGTAATTCAATAGTTTCTTTGTACTTTCTTCGTAATCGTTAGCGTAATAGATATTATCGTTATCATCGTCGTCGCGTAATCCTCTTAATTTACAGGAAATATTGTCCACTTCATCGTCGTCATCCTCCTCGTTATAATCGTCATCATCGTCATCTTCATCATAATAGTTGTCATCGTTGTCGTCATCATTATCATCATCATCATCGTTATCATCATCACCATCGTCATATATATTGTCGCCTTCTTCGTAATAATCTTCATTATCCACATCATTTTCATCTCCGAAGCCACCGGCGCCATCGTCATCACCATCGTCGTCGTCGTCGTCGTCGTCGTCGTCGTCGTCGTCATTGTAAACATCGTCGTTGTCATCGTCAATAAACGATTTTTCGGTGTTGCACGGAACGTTTGGATTCTGTTCGGTTTTTTCAGAATGTTCCTTATAGTTACAATCCTCCATGTCGTTATACTTGTCTTCTATTTCAATTTCATTATCTCTTTTCTTCGCATTCTCTCTATGTTCTCTTCTATGGTAATTTCCATTGGGGCTTTTACTCTTGTAGGCTGTCTTCGGACGATCGGATTGTCTCGATCGATGAGATTCTCCTCCTCGTCCTCCTTTCTTCCCATCTTCTCTTCCTTTTTCGATATCTTCTCCTAGCTGATAATTGTCATCAAACTTTCGTTGATGGACACGCCTCCGACGATTCCTTTTAATATGCTGTGAGGAGGGGGAATGAGATTGATTGGGATGGTGTTGATCCTTTTTCATATCTTTGGACGAGGGCTTATTTTCATCTTGGCATTTAAGTGAATTGTTCACCGGAAGCTCAAGATCGTACTCTTTTCTTGGCGGCGATGAAGTATTAATTTGTAACATGTTATTAGTTGTAGGCTGTTGAACAACTGAAGTAAGACATATTTTCTCTTGTAAATTAGGTTTCTCCTTGTCCCTTATTTTCTTGACAATTTCAATCATTCTAACATAGCTTTCAGGATATTTATTCTTCCTACTCGAGTTGTTTGTCCACATTATAACGCCGTCGGATGAGAAGAGCGAAGGATCAAAAATTTTTTTATCGGCACTTTTAGCTCTTTGTACCCGATTCTTATCGATGGAAAGAGACAAAAATTGATTATTGGGAGATGATCTAAGCACTGGAGGAGCGCTCGTTATTCTCGTTGTTCTCCCCGAATAGTTAACTTGAGGATTTTCTGACCAAAAAATTCTGGCCTTGTTTATAAATTCAATGGATTTATGAGCAGTTAAACGAGCGGAAGACGAGCCGGGAAATTCTCTACGGCGAACGTTTTCAAATGGGAAATGAGAAAGGAAGGCGTTCCTAAAATCTGACCTTGCCGATACGTTATTTGCAGAATGTGCTTCTGTTGCCGTTTTATTCCCTGACATGATTTGCACTGTTTAGAGCTGTTAATGCTGTTCAAATATCGAAATCGATAGGCTGATAGAAGTTAGTTGGTTCGGGTTACTAGTCGAGCTTGTTTATAAGGTGATTAGTTCCTGGGAATTTATAGAAAATGTCATTGGGGAAAAACACACACATATACCATATTATATGTATATTGTACATACAGTATATGCCTATATAAACTATAGGCCGTAGGTGTTTGTATTTGTGTAATTTAACCAAAAAGATAGTAGAATAAAGCAACATTAGAGATAGAGAAAGAAATAAATAAATAAACAAGGAGAGAAGAACACAAACGTTTTTCATTTATTCCTCAAAACGTTGAAAAAAATTGAATATTTTTTAATTGGCAAAGAATTAAACACTCTTTAGGTTTTCAATGCTCTGTCCATCCATCTATCTATAGTATCTATCCTATCCAACTAAACTCTTGTTTGCTATGGCTTCCCACGTATCTTTCCACTTGGACCTTTTCAATTTATATTGTACTCAACTTTCTCCCTTCTGTTCGTCTAGCTCTCTTCTTCCCTCATCCATCCATTCATCCATCCATCCATCTATCCATCTATCCATCTATTTATGCTAATCTTCCACTCGCTCCTTTATTCTCGTCTATCAAGACTGAAATAATCTGTTCCTTTATTTCATCACTTGTTCGTCGGTAGATTTATGAATAATTTAACGATAAAGCAATTAGATAGAAAATAGGCTAATTTTCACTCTCAATTAACGAATACTTTAGTCACTAAGTTGGACGTTTCTTGAATGCAAAACGCTTTGATTGATTTATCTCTACGAACATTTCATTGACGACTAATTGCTACCTAACGTTTTTCTACCTTTCTCATCCTTCTCCCTTTGCCTTCTGCATTCTGTTTTCTCTGTTAGTGATGACAGAGAACATTGACGAGATGAAGATTCTGATCTCCTTCAGAAATCTTTCTCTATCTGAAATCTTACCTCATTTCTTATTTTATTTAGAGGATATATTAGATAACTGAACATTAAAAGAACGCTACGCACTCTTTTCTCATCTCTCCTTTACTCTCGGTTTCTCTGCAGAGTAGAATTATTCATGGCACTGCAAACAGACCGGTGCTGATACTTTTACTGTTGGGGCAATTGAACATTCAGATCGATCTTTAGGATCTTATCGATTGAATTTCGAGTCCCTCTTTGTCGGCAAATGCAGTAATTTTTCGCTTTCAATTCTAAACTGCCCACTAGAAGTTGAACACTTATTTATTGGTTACATCTAATCACTTGACGGCCTTTTTTTCTGGCAGCCATATTAGTTTTTTTCTTTTATTACATTTATCGGACACAGCTCTTTTTTATGTTTCTTATGCTATTTCAATAAAAAAATTCAACCTACAAAATGAAATTCACCTCTTTAACGATTCACGATAAAGAGAGTGATAAGTTTATTCTACAATCCAGGACATAGATTGCTACATAGACTAATAGTTTATATATAACGAATAAGCATGTTTATGTATTTGTTTTATTTGTCAATTTTTCTATTACTAATAAATTAACTGCAGCTAGGTAGGGAGAAAAGGTTCAGTTGGAACAAATAGGAAGACTAAAGAGCGAAGAGAAGCTACTCACTACTATTCCTAAACTAACCGCTTCTTTTATCATATCTATCTTAGCTAGTAGACTGAAAGCAAACTTTTAATTTGCTCGTCGATTAACGGAGGTAATAGCTTATTAACACAGAGGGAGAGAGAGAGAGAGAAGGAGAGAGTAGATAGACGAATGGGTAGAAAGAAGGAAAAAATTAATGAATAAACGAATGAATAAAAGTTTTATATTAGGCGTTATTTCACTTTACATTCTTTTTTTCGTATATTTAGAAATGAAAACGGTATAAAGAAGGCAGATTTCGTTAAAAAATTCAATTTACTTGATAAGACTAACGTCAACTGCCTTTTAGAGAGTAAAATATATACATTTTATATATATTGTACCTCATCTCTTGTTATTAACCGTTCAAGCAAGATAGAAAAAGAATGCATTCACATTTTCGTTTATTTCCAAAGTGAAATAGGCAACTGTAAACATATTTTTAGGTTACTTTAGGTTGTTTTTATCTTGTGTGTATGCATGAATGTAGGTACGTATGTCTGTATTTTTATTATTATTGTGAACACCTACATATAAATATAAATTAATGTATATATATATATATATATATAGATCTATATATAGATATATACATATACATTAATATATATATATATTTATACGTGTATATATTTTAAATTTATATACTGAGCATGACTCAACACATCAGTCAGTTAAAAAGCATCTGTTTGTGCCGAGTATTTCAGAACCCTCTCCGTTAATCCAGAATCGCAAATCCCTATAAATAAAATTATATTAAGAAATTTGCTTGAATAGTTCAATATATGCAATATTATGTGGCCTTACTATGAAAGACCAAATCGATAGAAGACGAAGCCTTTGAGGCTTACTTTCTTCCATTTTGAGTTTTTTCTTTTTCGTGACTATTCATGAGTTTTGCAGTAGTTTTACGAGTATGACCACCGGGATCGGTATGATTAGTATGTTGTTCAGCCTCCTTCTTGGTTCTACCTTTACCGCTGCAATAAAAGAATAAAACAATGTAAAAAAACGAGTGCATGTGCAAACACAATAACTAAATAAATTAATAAATATTTAACAATTAAAACCCTGTTTTAAATATCCTTTTACATTTCTCTGCAAAGAGAAAGCACTGTTGTCCTATAGGACACTAGTTTTCGTTCACTAAAAACGCTAGAGAGAACTAACATACTTTTGAGACAGACCAGTTTCAGGACACCTTATCAGTTTTCTATATATATATACACGTTTACGTATTATGCGATACAAGATTTTCTGCTACCAATAGATATGTTAATTTATTCCAAAAAGAAGTAAAAAAAGAAGACCTGAATTTTTTATTTCATATCTACATTTTTATGTTTCTTGTCTAATCGGTTAAAGTTTAACAACAGGACGAGAAAAAAGATTATAGCTAGTCTGTTACTCAATCAATCTATTTGTCTCTTTCTTTGTCTCTCTCTCATATATATACTGTATATATATATATATATATATATATACATATATTTTGTTTTTAAAATCTATAAATATAAATATGCAAAGTATTTGCATATTTAAACAGTGCATATGCCGACGAGAGTGAGATTTAAACAGTCTGTTCAGTATCTATATTATTCAAGGGTATAGCAACAGTCTGTTGAAATGTCTGGCTACAACTTGAAAGATTAATGGACCAACTATATGTCTATATAAATAGAAAAACTTCCCAATTGAATATTGGACTGGAAGAGAGAAAAACGATCCACAACGAAGCAATGGAAAGAGTAGAATTAAAAAAAAAACAAATTTTCCATTCAATCATCCTGAATATTAATATTAAAACAAATATAATAAAAGAATGTTGCAACTGTTTGAATAATTAAAAATATATAGATAAGCGTATCGAAAAAAAAAAGACATTTTTTTTTACCTAGACAATCTTAAGCCTATTTGGTATGTTTTTTTTTTCCTATTGCACAACACCGAAACACTGTACCTAGATAGATATTTTTGATCCATATCGAAAATAACATACAGATACAGTTAGATAGCCTAGTTATTTTGTAAATTTGTAATACGTATATACATAAATATATATATATATATATATAAGTGTGTTATCAACTTGATAAAACAATCATTGAAAAGAGATGTTTGAAAACTTGTTATAGCTTGTTATTTTCGAACATTTCACCTTCAATTTTTTGTATATTTTCATAGGTAAAAGTAGGACAAAATAAATGTCACGTAGAATTGGAGAGAGATGCGACTGATTACATAACAACATAATATTTTAACATCATCATCATCATCATCATCCTCCTCCTCCTCCTACTCCTCCTCTCTCCACCCTTCCGACCCCCCTCCCTTCTCCCTTTCCCCACTTTCTTCTACGAAATACAATAATATTACTTGATCTTTCAGGTGCATTTATAGACTAGAAAGCGCTCTATTCTGTTCTTTTTTCCCCTTTAGTAATGAAAATGGAATGTATCGAATGTTTTGAACGCAACAATTGATTGAACAGATCTATTAATAGAAAAAAAACAATGCAACTGGGTCATTTTATACTTGTCATATACGTAATATCTACATTACAAACTAGTTTTTCATTTTCTAGAGTCAACTCTAAATGGAAAATACGTTCAAAGGAAATAGAAATACACAGACTCGGATCTCTCTCTCTCTCTCTATATATATATATATATATATATATACTTAATATTAATCTAATACAGGACTAGAGTATTTGAGAAATATGCAAGTGCCCATTGCAGTAGGTCAACTGCTTTTCACCAAATTTTCCTTTCTAGTAATTGTTATTACTCAGAAGAAGATTTTGCATATCTGACTAAATGAATAATTTGGTTTTTTTAATGACAAATTGCGAAATAGACAACAAAGAAAAAAGAAATTATGGACTAAAATAATTAAGAGTATGAGCGATAATACAATGTTATTGAAGCGATTGCATACCTGTGTCCAGAATACATTTGTTTCTCAACTTCTAAATCGTAATTGTAATGCTCGTATTTGTCTTCTAAACTGTTTATGTTCGACATGTTTTCGCTTGAAATTTTCGTCTTTGAATGCTTTTGAAACGTCTGTAGAAACTCGACAGCTGTTGATATTAGTCAACAGGCCAAATGTTGTTGATACTGTGAGCTATAGGCCTGCTTATTTTCATAACCATCAGATGTCGCTCTTCTCGCCTGTGATTATTCATTCGATAGAGTGTAGTCCTACATTATCTAGGCAGTGATAAGACAGACCGATAGGCGTATGGTTAAACAAACACTGTATATATACTAATATATATCTATATATTTATATATATAGAGAGAGAGAGAGAAAAAAGAAACAGAACAAAAAAATCCTAGCTTAGGCCTATAAAAATTATAATACCGCTAATATAAATAGATAAGTACCGATATATTTGTATATTTGATGTAATACAGAAATGAAAGGGAGGAAGGAGTAAAGAACAAAACGAGAAGGACAATATAAAATATTGAAAGAAAAGTGAAAAATAATTTCATCATATTTATCATTGAAAATGCGATCATGTTCCATTCTCTCCTCTTTCTTAATGTATTAAAAACAAAAGAGTCATTTCATACATAAAATATTCTATATAAAGTGCCATAATAAATGAGTACATTTTAACTATTTACACACTCGCATCTCCTCCCTCTGAAAGAGAAAGAGAGATAGAAAATGGCAGCAAAGAACATATGCACTCAACGCTTTCATAATCTTTTCTTGTGCTCTTTTTCATATATTACAGAAATAGACGATTAAACTGGAAATAGTGTGAAGTACCAGAAGAAACGTAATAGGCAAGCACACATATTTACACTCAAATATACAGAAATTACAGCATAAAGAGAGGAGGAAACGGAACAGAAAAAGTTTTGTCTGATTTGTCCTCTCTTCTATTTCTTGTTGTTGTTCTTCTTGTGCTGCTTCTGCTTCGTCTTGCTATTGTTGTTGTTGTTGTTGGTGTTCTTCTTTCTTCTTTGTTCCCACTCGTATACTATCTTTCTCACCTTTATTACACCCTCCCAAACGAACTAAACTCGACTGATTGCCAATCAAGTTTATTGTTCATCTTCCTTCAAGGCAAAACATTCTACGTAGACTCGACCTTCGGCGGTAACTAAAAGTTTGTCTTGAATACTCTTATACAAGACTGATATGTGCATACCAAAACGACTCTCTACCTGTAGAGCGGCGTTTAAACGCTGTAATGCCATAATTAAATAACGATTTTCGGCCACCTCCGATACAGAATTACTCATCAAAGCTATAAGAAAGTTAACCAAAAGAATTGGTACAATGATGACGTAGGCAACGTGAAGGATAGCGACGTCCGTAAGATTGTCAATTTTCAAATCGGTTAGTTCGAGCATGTTGAGCATAATTCTAAACGACGAATAAGTGCTTATAAACGGATCTTTAAATTCGCTCGTACATATTCCTTTAATATAGAAGAGATTGTGAAAAGTCTGAGAGAAACTAAAGAACAACAGAATATACAGAATAAGAAAATGGAACATGTCCTTGAACATTCTCTGAATAATTGTAACGAAATGACCAAGTGCAGGGACAAATTGTATAAAGAATAGCAGACTCCATATATTCAATATGTTTGCAATCATAAATGATTTTGTCATGAGATCTTCCCAACCTTTGGTTTTACCCAAAATAAAGAGTAGGACGAAAACTGCTAGTAGAAAATTGCAAAAACGATAGAATTTCGTTCGAACTACAAAATGTCTGCTTCCTTGAACGTGTTGACATCGCTTATCCTGATTTCTTCTCACTGTTGAGAAAATCCCCTCCGTTATGTCGAATAGTACGATTACGAATGAATAGATGAGCGTTATATAGAGGATAACTTGGCGAACAGTATCACTTATTGTGAATAGAGGAAAAGAACACCGACCACCCGGTAATGGGTTTATTGATGAGTTTCTCGACGAAGAGATGGACGAAGGTTCGCTGGAAGAAGAGGAGGAGGAAGATGAGGAGGAACTGGATGGCGATAAGACCGACGTCGAGGATAGAATGACTGACGACGACGACGATAGAGTCGAAACAGATCTCATAGCAGACCTACTATCCGACTCTTCGTAGTTGCTATTGGCGTAGACCAAGAAGAGCATTGTATAAGAGACACGAGCCAAGAACCAAAAAATCAAGTGCAAAGTATTACTCTGGATTTTAATATCTATCCATTTGGATATGGCCTTATTATTGAGCATAATTTCTCTCGTAGATGCATTTTGCAGTCTTTCCTTTTCGATAAAAGTAAATATCCTCAAGGGAGATCTATTTCGTCTACTTTTACTGTCGATACTCTCGTAGTCTGTTACGTCGTACCATTTACAAACGTACGCTCCCAGTCTGCCTTTATTGTGAACGTAAACGCCTTCCGTATTGAATATCGCTATGAACAGATAGAAAGTTGTTAATCTGGCCGCTAACTCTAACGGTCTAAGACCGTCGGCGTTCTCCCTCATTAGCAATGATTTCTGCTCCTGTCTCGATAGAGAATCAGTTATCATACGATAGATTTTCTTGTATTCGTTCTCGTATTCCGGTTGAAGAGCCGCACCCCAAACAATTGCGTGTATAATGTTGTTATCGCCACCGTCGTTCAAATAGATATCTGCCCCCTGATTCAATATGAATTTCAGTACTTCCTTCGATCTGAAAACTGCCGCCAAAACTACTGGACGTTGGAAAAAGCAGGGTAGAGTTTTATTCTTTTGCTTCCAGATTTTATTCTTTGAACTGTTGGTAAAATAGTGAAATTCGAATTTGCCGTTGAGCATTATATCCACTTCGGTTCGAACACCGGTTAGAATTCGCTTTGCACTTTCAAGATCGTCCTTTTCTATTGCGTCGAACCACGTCTGATACATGAGCAGAGGCATCTCTTGATCGCTTCCATTGGCCGGTTCGTTGGGAGAGGCCGAAACTGGTATGGCCTTACCGTTCGAAGCGTAGAGAATGGCCGCAGCTCCATTCTTGAAAGCGTTTCTTTTATTCTTGTGTTGAACAATATCTGAGAAGTCGGACGAAACCGAACTTTCCTTCGAAACCGGCGGATTTGACATGACTGCAATAAAGAGTGAAGAGTGCTATTTTACATGAAAAATTAAGTGTGATAACGTTGTTTGGTTGATGGGTTTCTTTTATCTTTCCAGCTACGCAGAATGTATTCTTGTATATTTTACGTACGTATATATACTCTCTACGCATCTATCCATTATGTAAAGGCCCTTTTCTTTCAGTAAGTTATTTATAGACTATTTTATGATAATCTAATAAATAATAATTTACGTTATATTCGATGTTGGCACGCGTGCTGGATTATAGCGCATCAGCATTGTAATTTATTCCAACTTGTATTGTGCAAATATACGCTATTACATTCGGCAGGACGTGCATGCGCACGATAGACTGTTGAATGAATGAATGAATGAATGGATGGATGGACGAAAGAACTAATGAATGAATTAACTAACTGACCGATATCAATATATATATATATATCAATTGATTGATTGATTGATTGATAGATCGATCGATCAATAATTAATTGATTGACTGATTAATGCATTTATACATTGATTACTTACTTGATTTGTCTATTATAGCCCTAATGAACGTAATGAATAGGTATTCTATGCTGTATTAAAACTTTTATTGATTAGGATTTTACACGAGTTTATGAACTATAAATAAATATGTTTCTATCTATACATAGACTGTATATACATATACATTTTTTATAAGCAATATTCATATATACCATTCATTTATTCTAGTTTTTTCATAAATTATTCTTTCAAATTGACATATTAAGTATTTACTTCAGAATAGGTTCTAACGACGATGCTAATTTTTGTCTAAAATCAACTTGTTGGCTGCAAAACTGACACCCGTCTACTCTACAGTCGTTCAAAGGTAAACAACGCACGTACAACCGTATGGACAGCGAAAACAGAATATGCGAAAGAAGTAAAACTTTCGCAAGTCGTTGAGTCAGATAACTGCTGATTAGTAATAGTTTCTTCGGGATATTCAGAAACTGTTTCGCTGGGGAAAAGAATGACGGGTGGAGAGAAACTAAAAGAAAGAGGATGAACATACCTTCTAAATAGTCTGCCAAATCGTCAAGTGAAGCTGGTACTCGGATTAATTATGTACTGGCTTCTCTATACGTCATGCTAAAAAAACACGCCCTCTCTGTAGGACTAATTCAATGTATTCTATAATATTTAATACTCAAGTATAGTACAAGTTTTTTAGTGTTTGTATATTTCTTTTTCATCTTTTCTTTTTGCTTTTTTAAAAAAAAAAATTAGCCCTAAAAGTTATAAAAAGCGAACCTTTACCAGAGACGCGTATATTATTTTAATAAATTAACCTTGAAAGTTGAACATTACTCTAAAGGTGAGGCTTAGTCTTTGATAATTTGTAAGGCGTGTCTTGTACTATTCGCCCCTTGCCCCTTCTCTCTCTCATTCTCACCTTGTTAACTATTATTATTCTTGTTATTACTATTATTCATAGATGCCCGAATATGCTAACTTGTCTTCTCTTGACCTGTTTTAGCATCCGTATACCAAAGAGTTATCGTAACAAATTACTTAATAAATGTAATGCAGTTATCAAATTAATATACAGTTATTAACAATATAAGATGGTTAATAGTCAATATTTTGGTAGTGAACTGTTTCGGATGTAGTGAATAGAAAATATGTATTTTAACCATTCATCAATTAGGCCTGGCCGTAAAGCATCTCAATACGAGCGACACTTGGCAGACGCATTAAAATCACATGGAAGAGTTAGGTTAATTGTTAGGTTAATTGTTATATACTGTATATATTCAGCAAATACGTTTATATATATATATATATATAAACGTATTTGCTGAATATATATATAACCATAAGCCTATTTTTCCTATAGATCCTATTGTTTGCAATTCCAACTAAGAAAAGACAACAAGAAAAGCATACAAGGGGCTAATAGATGCTCTATTGACGATAATTCACAATAATACATATACAATTTTTTCCGTATATTTATATAAGGAAATAGTCTGAAGTTGGCTTATACAAAAAGTACAAAAGCATCACAAAGCGTCTCTTCTACCCTACTGTTGATATACAGCTGATAAAAGATGACTGCTACGTCATTATCTTTTTTATTAAATAATATAAATAAAAATAATACTGTATCGTCAAACTATGTACACTTAGTCATACTTTCTGTTGCCTCTTTTTATGCAAACACAACAAACCAACATAGCTAATAGGACTTATTAGTTTGTAGTTTACTTTCTTGATAGTTTCAAAGTAGAATATACCATGGTTTTCGTCATATTTTAAAAAACCCATCTTTGATTATCCTCACAATGCAATATCCATAACCCTATATATATATGTAAATATATATATATATACTTTTATATAATATGGATGCAAAAATATCTAAGCATACAGAAAACCAGTCGTAGCTTTAGAAAATACTCTTTTGTTGAGGTTTTCTGACACATGATACTACTATTTTCTGGAAAAAAAGGAAACTCGCATAATCTTATATAAGTTGATTTTCCTTACCATTTAATTATCAAAGAGTTTGCTCTTCAACATGGAACTCGAATTAAAATATTTTATTATCTTCTCTATGCTTCTTGGTGCCGGAGTCAGTTTAAGAAACGATATTATCCTCAAAGTTCTAGACAGATATCCGCCGTTTGACGAACATTCCACAGTGGACTTGTCGGCAGAATGGAAATTTCGAATTATTCACAACGTTAACAATCTACTCCATCAATTCAAATATACCTGCGAGACAATCAAGGTAAGAATATCTTTAACTTGAACTTATTTACATGGTTTTTTTTTTCCCTTGTCTCTGTTCAGAATGCTTCGGCAGATCTCTTTTTCAAAGTTATGGAATGTGCTGATTTTTCAATAAAATCCTCTTGCCCAAGTGTTTTCGTCAAGCCGAATTTCTGTGAAATATACTCTTCGGCCTCTAGCTACGAAGAAAAGTTTAAAGTGATTTTTGAGCATTTCTTGATGATAGAATATTTTTTCTACGAGTATAGATTAAGACAAGAAATATGGCCAAAACATTTACAGTCCGAAATATCCAATTTTCTTGGAAGCAATACGGAAAAAGTGATAAAGTTTTTAATTAGAGAGTTAATCTATAAAGCGGTTGATTTAAAGATTACGACTATCAGAAAACTTGAAAGATTGACATTGAATTCTAAATATGATCCTTTAAATTTAACGCAATCGCTGGCAAGTCAAGTCGTCTATCACTATTACATTCGTGATTCTATTACGTTTTTATCACTAGCAAAGCAGTTTTTTAGCAACCATAAGTTAACCAATGTTCAAGAAAGACGACGAAGGTTAGACGATGGAACAGAATGGAGAAACAACATCCTACCGTCTCTTTAATTTACATTTTTTCTTTTGTGCTTTGGTTTCTTTTCTCTTCTTTTTACTTGACATTCACTTGGTATCTCTATCCTTGGATTGGCGTTCAATGTACATATATTTATTTGTTTATATTTAATTAAACAACCAAAAGAAAGTGAAAATAAACAAATGAGTTAAAGTTAAAGTCAAAAATCTTTTATAGTTTTTTCAACACTTTCCTCATCAACTTTTAAGAAATTCTACAATTCCCAGTATAAAGTAGTAACAAGGAGTTTGCTTATTTTAGATCCTTGTTAAAAACAGACTGAAAGAGATAGGAGAGAACTTTCTTGGAAATTATATATAGCGAAAGAAAACAAATGTAACTATTCTCTCTCTCTCTTCTTTACAATAAAACAAGTATTTTTGGATTTATGAAATATTTATCTTTAATAATTAGGCAAAACTTGATCTTGTTGAATACGTAGGCGAAAAAGCATTGATGTTTTATATATATATATATATATATATATATATTATATATATACTAATATATATATATATACTGTATACATATGTATAATTATGTATGTGAAAGAGGAAAGAAAGTGACGATAGGTACATTCAATTTAGAGTCTCTAGTATATTGCAGATATTTCACTATTAAATAGATAATAGGACTAAAGAATTTAACTCTTAATTAGTGTTTTCTTGTCTTTTAAATGTTTTTGTTGTTCCTTTGAAAAATTTTCATTGTTTTTCGCCTATTTCTTTCTCTTTCTTTATTCGCGGAACATCTATTTTCGCTTGTAAACACAAATCAGCTAATTAATGCACTTTGTTTTTACACCGTCTCCTCTCCGTCTCTTTATAATCTTCTTCTTTTTCTTTTTCTTTTTCTTTGAAGATCAACTATGTATTTAACAGATCAATCTATATTCGGTCAATACTGTTATTCATCTATCTATCTCACTGTCGTATTTTATGTTATTACAGTTAGCATTCAACAAATTAGGTATCGTGTTTTAAACGATTTTAGTAATAATCAAGCAGCCACAGCATTTTAACCATTCATAACGAAACATTTGCCACTCATTTATTAATCATTCCATTTTGCAGTAAATTTTAAATACTCCCGGCTTTTTCCTAATTCTATTAATAACCATGCATTTCGAAATGTAGTCAAGTTCTATTCCCAACCATATTAATTTGTCTTTATCCTCTATAACCGCCTAAAATTCTTTCTATAGACACAATAAACGTGGAAAAAGAGAAGAGAAGAGGGACTTTTGAGGGACTTTCACTAATAATATTTCCTTGAGAGAAAGACAATAAATTTACATTTTTAGCCATTAAGGATTTCCATAAAGGCCTTAAGAAGAAAAACACAAGATAGATGATTTGGACAAGAGAGATATTCTTCATTTTTCAATCTTCTTTTACAAGATAAACTTGTTGCTGTAATTCAAAAGAACAAAAGTGTCTCTTCGCTTCAATTTAACGCTATCCTATTCTATAATATATTCTTTTAAAGACAACACTTTTCCTCACTTCGTTCTATTCTTGCTAATAGAGTGAATCGAATGCCTCTAGGCGTCTTTCCTTCAATTCGTCCGCTTGCCGTATTTCCATAGTATTTCCTCTAAACTTCAAGATTCGTAATCTAATTTTTTTGACTAGCTGCGTATTATTGCCATACAAAATTTTTTCAATTTATAGGCAATTAAACGTCTAAATCAAGTTTTTACCTCCCATTTATTGTGCTGCTCTTCATCGTCTCCTCCTCCTTTTTCTCTACCAAATCTTTACGCGCCTTATCAGTAGAATTAATAAAAGAGTCAAAGACATTTTTTGTTTATTAATAAATATTCAATATATGATTTTCTTTCCCAGGTATTTTTCAAATCAATCAAATATAAAGAGCAACATGTACTGTATAATACTTCTTCAAACAGTCAATTTTTGTTCACGTGTCAATGATTTATGTCTTTGAAAGAGACTATTTCTATGTTTTTAAATAAATCCTATGAGTCACAAACTGGCTCCCCTCCATTTATCTTTCCATCTGCGAATACATTAATATACAGTATAAATACATATATGTATATATACTACATGTCGACTGTATACTGTATATGTTTTATATATAGTATGTCCTTTTGTTCTCTTAGTGGTAAATGTCAGCTTTATCCTAACCCTCAATAATGTTTATTAATATAGGCGGTAACTATCCTTAATAAACTTAATAAAAATGCTTCAACTATTCTGTGAAACTTTATATATGCATTTTCTTTATCTCTACTAATCGTCACGGGAAACGGAACGAAGGGGCGGAGCGCGAATATTGGACTAAAACCTCGAAATGGTCCTTTCTGCCCGGTTTTATGCTCCTATTCTTCCTCTTAGACCAATATATCTCGACAATGATTTTTTTGAAATGATTATTTCATCTCTTCACAGTCTTTTGCTTCTTTCTCTTTCTGCTGTGATAGTTTTAATTACATTCTATATGAAAGCGTTGTTTAATATTTTCAAGGTAATTCTGAAAAAAGAAGTATTTATATACGAAGGATAAGATGAAAAGTAACAATCTACTCATCTATGCGTTTATAATATGGTTTAATCAATTCTTTTCTACCTGTTATTTACTGAAAATACTGTGAAATTAAACTGTTAGTTTTGCCCTCGAGCGAACCGATTTCTCCTTAATTCTCCTCAATTATTTTCTACTAACCCTAACCCTTTCTAATTTAGGTTATAGATATTTTTAAGACAAGTGCATTTTTTTAAAGCAGAACAGTAGAAAGAACAACAAGAATAAGAGGGGAGGGGGAGGGGAGGAGAAGTGAGGGAATAGGAAACAGAGAAATAAGAAGGATGAAAGGAGCAGAAGAAAAAAAAACTTTTTGACAAATAGATACTATGTACAATGCGTATACTGAAATGTATATAATGTAAAGTATAACACCGTGAAATATGTTGAACAAAAGTTGATAACTGTTTTAAAACACACCTAACCCCATCTATCTCATTGACTAAACTTTTATCCTTGTTCTATTAGTTTCTAATTGATTATCTATGATAAATTTCTATAATGACTTCATCATCTCATAGGTAACAATAATCTTTTTGGGGGAAAGGAATAAATCGAGGGAGAGAGAGAGAGATTTAGACACAGAGAATAATGTTTTTCTCTACTAACGATAGTCTAGTACAAAATCAATACTGCAGAGTGTAAAATGTCGACAGAACTTAATAATTTCTAGGTCAGCGAAAAGAGCCTAGTTATTTCTCTTCCAACTTACTTTTTGGCCTGACAACACCTTCAGTATCTGCACATCTTGCAAGGCAACTGAGGACGTAAAATCATGCATATTTTATCTTCTTTCTTATCGTTTTAGTGCTTGTAGGAGGATTTATCTGCAGACTTAAAAAAATATAATATGGCGGAATCCGACGAAGAATTACCTCATAAGTCTATCCAGGTAACTATAAAATCTTTAATTGGTTTTCACCAGTTCAACCTAAAATTACTCTAGTCTTTTACCCTCATTGTTGGATCACTATGTCAAGGTGAAAGGCCTTCTAGGCAAAGGTCATTTCTCCGATTATTTTACAAAGCATATGTATCCTTATCCACTAACAAGATAACAGGACGAGCAACTGTTAATTGTATCTTTACGCTTTGCTTTTTGTATGGTACATATATGCATTTATGGGATATGAACAATATATATTTATACTGTATATACTGTATTTACATATAGTGAAAAACTCGTTTGACGTTAAATTCTTTAGCATATATCCCTTTAAAGTGTTTGCTTAAACTGACTTTGATCAAGAAAGAGAGATAGATAGATAGAGAGAGTGAGTGAGTGAGTGACAGAAAGAATAAATGAATAAATAAAAGAAAAAATGAAAAGTATTTTCTAATTTTCTCGCTAAAGTCTTATCGTTTACTTCATTTTTATGTGACAGAAAGAACCAAGAGTTAGAAAAGGTGGTTTGATTATGTTTAAGACAGCTTTAGATAAATATGATTTTCGTCATTTCGAAACGGTGCTCTACTCTGCTGCATTTTTCTCCATGGTAAGTAAAAAAGACATGTCTTACTCATGCATTTAATGACTGATTCAAAGCTTTATCATATCAACGCTTCACCCATCCATCCATCCATCCATCCATCCATAAAATCATCTTTTCATCTTCCATTTTCTTCCTCGCCGCCCCCTCCCTCCGTCCTCGTCATCTTCCTCCTCATATCCTTCTTTCTCAGCTCCTATTTCTTTTCCCAAAATCTTAATTGTTCAACCAAATGTATAAATATCATATCATCTTATAGGGTATCGCCGTCTCTTCATCTGGAGTTACTATAGTGGATCTGGCAGAAATATGTAAAGTCTCTATTGAGAAAGCATCCTATCTGTTTACAGTTTTTGGCCTAGGACTGATTTCAAGTACTCCAGTATTCTTTTTGCTGGGACACCTTATTCATTCTTCTTTGAAGCAATGCATTTATCTTTCGATTTTGGCTGTTGGTTTTCTATGCATTTCGTGGGTGGAAAACTTTCACTTGATGCTCTTTATCTTTTTTATGAATGGTTTTGGTACTGCAGGTCAAAGTTTAAGTAAATTTTTCCCTTTTTTAGCCATCTCCTCGCTCTTTTCCCCTTCTCAGTCTATATGTGTTTTCTTAACCCAGCCGGAAATACGAGGATGAACGAAATATGGCAAGAAAAGACTGGACCTTATATGCAAATACTTCATACAACTTTCCCTCTCTCGGGTATCCTTACTTCAATGTTTTTTAAGCCTTTCTTATCGAAGTCGATAATTAACAATGGCAGTATTTTTAATTCGACTCTGTATTCTAATCAAACGAAAGAATCTGGTGAATCGAATCAGAGTAGAATTTATATTCCCTATAGCATCTTTTCGGTGTATTCTTGTTTTATGGTTGTTTGTTTTGCCTATGGCTATGTGAAACGGGAAAGTATAAAAATTCCCAAAATGGACGTTAAATCTAAGGTGGAAACCGATAGGCCACTCTCCGAGGAAAACTCCAATAAGAACGATACTGAAAATGGAGAAAATGTTGGATTAGATCAGATAGCTTCCTCCAAGGAAAAGGAAGCAGTTGAAATACATAGACAAAACATAGAAAGAGAAAGCGTCGATGCCGAGTTGGATAAAGATGAATTAAAAGTGTTGAAAGAAGAAGAAACAGGAGAAAAAGCGAGAGACACTGACCGAGAATTAGGAAAGGAGTTGACGAATAAAAAGTTTAAATTAGTAAACAATTTAAAAGTAATATGTAAAGTTTTATTCTGCCTAATGGCATTTGTTCAAGCGGGAAGAGAGTACGTGTTGAATAGTTTAATACTGTCTTACTGTGTAAAATGCCTTAATTGGGAAAAGTCGGAAGGGGCCGATGTGTCTATGGTTGTTTATCTGACCTATACTATATTAAGATTGCTCAATATATTTATTTTAAAGAAAATTAGAGTTATCTGGTTGATTATAGGAAATATTTTATTGGCACTGATTTGCGCAGTGTTCTTTATATCGATTAACCATTCGAATAAAGTGTTGATGTGGGTTGGAATTTTGGTAAATGCTTTATCCGTTGGAACTACTTTTACAGTTTCTCTAATCTGGTCGAGATCCTTCCTAAGAATTACCCCAAAATTTGTTTCCAGCTTCTTCTTGTGCTTTTACATCGGAACATCTATTCTACCAGTCCTCGCAGCCTATTTGTTTACAGAAGTACATTGTTTCTGGTATCCAACAATTAACCTAATTCTCTCCTTTGCCTGGATGCTAATCACTGGCATATTACTTTTTATAAAAATCACAAAAAAGGCTTATATAGTTGTTTAATATATTAATAACAATAATAATATAATATATAGATTGTGCATAAAATTCAAGTTGCTTTTCCGTTTGCTTACTAATTCACTTAGTAATTAGCTCAACTCTTTCCTCTCCATCACTCAGTTCACTTGAATTCTTTTTCTCTCTTCTTCGCTTTCCTTCCCCTCGCCTCTCCTATCAATCCTTTTCTATCTCTCTTTCTCTCTCTCCTCATTTAAAGTCTGTTCAATTAGGCTAAACTCTGAAAAAATGTTCACATCAAAACAGCATATCTGTTTAATAGGGTTTATTTATGATAGAATATTCCTCTCTTTCCTCATTCTGTATTCGAAAGGACTGAGGAAAGAAGAGAAAAGAGAAAGAGAGGTAAATGAAAGGGAGGAGAAGGATAGGAACAGAAGCGAAAAACAATTCAAATAATTCATCAATTTTTTCCTTAACTATAAATTGATCGAATTTCCTGTTTAGTCTTAAATTTTGTTTCTCTTTTCAGCCTAGTCTTTTCGTTTCCATTTAATGGAAAACATACTGTTGTTTTTTTTATGAATTTCAATTGTATTAGTCAAAGTAGTAACATTAAACATGGCAGTAGGAGTAGTAGGAATGGTTGTAGTAGAAGTAGGAATAGAGTAACTTTATCATTCTATTTCTTTTTAAAGTACTAAACCACACAACGAGAACAATAAAAGAAACTTTTACCTGCAGCTGTTAAAAGTTTGACGTAATTAAACAATAAAAACATTTTGTTCTATATATTGCTAATACAATGAAATGCGGTGTCGTTTTATTTCTTTGTATTTGTTAATTTACATCTTAATACACACACACACACACATACATACATACAAACATACATTCTTTTCGTGCTAATCTGTCTATCTCTCGTCCGCTCTTTTTCTCTTCCTCTCTTCCTCTCTCTCTCTCTCTCCTTCATACACACACACACACACATACACACACACTCACTCTCTCTCTCTTTGTCACATTTTTAGAATACGTTTCTTAAGCGCATTTGCTTGGCCTTTTTACCAGTTTAATTCAATTGTTTGTCAAGAATAACTAAAGAATAGAAGACGAGGAGAGGGAAACGGTTGCTATTAAGAAAAGGTCATAAAAATTAGACGGGGAGGGAGGGAGAAAGAAAGTTAGCGCTAACTGATTGGCAGATTTATTGGCAGATCAAATGGCGATAATAAAGAATGTTCTATTATGATTATTAATATGGTTTTTGGTAGTCTTTTTAGTTGTGTTGTTTGTAATTCGTAAATAATTGATTGCATGTTATTTTTTTTAGTAAGATTTACTATAAAATTACAATCTCTAACAAGTTTATTTCACCAATTTAGACAGAAAAATTGTCTATACTTTCCGCTATTCTAATATTTGTTAACACCTTATTTCATTTAATTATCTCTTATTCCCCCTCGTTTCACTCTTAATAAACTCTCCATACGACTTTTCATCCCTGTTCTTACTGTAACATGCAAAGCTGATAGATGGCGCCCTTCTACTTCAAAGAGGTAACAATCTTTTCATATACTCGTTGTTTAATATGCTAATCTCAAGTAGCTCTTTACCGTTCAAAGGACAGGTTGTGAACAATTTTCTTTGTTTTTTAACAGCAAAGTCAACAGTTGCTTAGACAAAGCGTGAGCAGACGAACAACAGGGATGTTCAGAGGGAATGGAAGAGACACAGAGACAGAGACATGGAGAAGGACACACGCATACAGACACAGACACAGACACACACGCACACACACACACACACACACATACACCTATGTACTCACGAATTCTATTAATTCGACCAGCAACATAATTTTAAACGGACCAATAGAATTTCCTATTATTAATTGGATAATATGGATGAGAACATTGCCAAGATAAATATTAGGCATCAGTCCAAAAACACCAATAAGCATAATGATAATTGTGACGGCGATAACAATGCCAGTAATGGTAATAACCCTAATAGGAATACTCGTACATTCAGTATGATAACATCATTGTAACGCACGTCACCTTTACACCAAGTCATTACCTTCATCAGTATCTCACTTGTTGTTTAGTCACGCAAACTGCAGGTTGTTTGCAGTTCGCCAACTGCAAGCTGCCAACTGCCTAACTGCCCTAACACTTGTGTAATTTAAAAGATATTTGAATCTAAATACAATCTAGAATCATTTTAGCCCAGTTAATTAACATTTTTAAGATTTGTCTATCTGTGCCTCCCTCTCTCCATGACTGTGAACCTCCCTTTCTATCGTTCTAACTCTGTCTCCCACTATGAATTTTTCTCTTTCGTCTGTTCACTAGCCTTTTTATTTTCCTCTCTTTTTATCCGTCGTTGTCTTCCCTCCACCCATCACACTAAGCTAATCTTGAAACTACCCAGTTTCTCATTTTTTTTTCGTTTATTTTCAATAATTCACTATAAACATTTTATTCTCGTTCCGCTCGCGTCTCTCTCAATATGTAATATATATACAGTATATATAAATCACCTAACCCACCCCTTTCCTCTCTCTCCTTTCCATGCATCAAAATTCTAAATTTTGTTGAAGAGAGAAATTCTTGCAGAAATCAAAATAATTTAAATATAACTAAAGGTGAGAAAAAAGTTTGAAAAAAGTAAGTAAAGGAAAAGCGTGAGAAAGCTGAGAGAAAGATAAGAGAGAGAGAGAGAGAGAGAGAGAGAGAGAGAAAGAGAAAAGGGAAAGAGTTGCTTATATATCTTTGTCAGCAAATTTCTTTATCGTCATATTCTTATGGGGATCCTCCACCTATTTGAGTGGAATTATCTTCTTTTCATCATTTTAAATTTGTTTTTTCTCTCTCTCAATCAGAATAATTCCACCTATGTTACATATGACTTAGACGATATTCTGCCCTATTTCACTTTGTTCTTCCGCCCCTCCGCCCATTGAATTCAACAGTTACCTTACTTTTTTCACCCGATACTCGATATTTGAACCGAGGTCATATTCCATTAATATCTCAGTTTCGTTAAGACGCCTCAATTTCTTGAAGACGAAAAGGAAGAAGATAGGAATAATCTGTGGTATGTTCATAGCGAATAGAAAGGGAGAGTGATAGAGAATGAAGAGGAATAAAGAGAAAAGGGAAAAACAAGAACTTCAGTCTAAAAGAGCAACTAAACACGCCAATTCCTCCAATTAGTCGTAATTAAATATTAAAAAATGTCTGAAATTCTCTAATTCAACAGATAATAATGACTTTTGATGGATAACTTTATCTCTCTTTACACACCAATAAGACATTCTCGTTCGGCCAAGTGCTCTTCGTTTTTTTCCCGATTCTCTTCTCCACTACTTTTTTCCATTTTTCCTATCGTTCCTTACGCGAAAGATTTACGAACTCAAAGAAGATGAATACAGATTTACCTTTCTCCTCTCTTCCGCTTTGCGTCTATAATTCTCTGTTAGACACATTCTTACACTCACGCTTTATACACAATATATGTATGTGGAAAGTGACACGCGTTTCGTATTATTTTTTAAAACGACGTCTTTTAGTCTTTTCTTCTTATTCTCTCTCTAAGTCTCTCTCTCACTCTCTCTCTTTTCCATCTCTCTTCCTATCCTTCTTCTCTATTTCTAATTAATAGTCTCTTTGGTCGGGCAGTTTTCTTCATTTTTTTTTCTCGCCCCATTTAGTATATTCATTTGTGGAATTGGAAGATTGCGAATAGGCATGGTTAAGGCGGGAGTGGGTGGTTAGGGGAAGAGAAGAAGAAAAGGTAAAACGACTATAATGTTACAACGATTATCCGCGCGAATCAATCATTCGTAAAAGTAGCAGTATAAGGAGGAAAAAAGGGGAATGTAGGCCATGATTTCTTGTGTACATTGGGCAAGAAAACGTTTTCTTTGGGATTATCCGCCAAGATAAACGTCGCCAGGATTCTTTTGTTGATCAGAATTAGTATCGGGAACGAAGCGAAAACTTATCTTTAATAAAAACTAGGGTAAATTGAAAGGGATTTGGAAGAGCCGATGGAAAATGGAAGGTCGTTTTATGTTTAGCTCTCTTCTTTTAGGTTTTTTTCCTCCTCTTTTCTAAAAGAGGACTTTTTTATGGTGTCTAACAGGATAAGGCGGCCATCCTTTGATCATGAAAAGAATATTCAAATGTGCAAAATTAGTAAAAAAGAAAAGGAATCATGTCTAAACGAAACAAGATAATTAAATCGATTTGAATAGAAATTCAATCGATTTACATAATCAATTTTCCCTCAAGAGTCTTTATTTTCCATCCTAATAATTTTGGCCTTATGTCATTACAATATTTGCTTATTTTCTATGCTCTGTTTACTCTTGTTCAAATAAATAAATAATGAATAGGCCTTTTGATGTATTGTGTTTAGTTTGCGATTGAAACGAATCAACGCTAAACGCTCATCTGCGTCTCCCATAGCTTTAATCCCATAACTTTTCTTAAATTATTTATGTTTTTTCGCTTTTGCTCTTAATTAGTCTTTTGGCAGGCCAAGCCGTAGATAATTGCGATCTTTCCTTCCCTCTCTCTCTCTCCCTCTCTCTCTCCCCATATATATATATATACAGTATATATATATCTCTTTTTCTGTTTGAAATTTTCCCCATCTATTCACATCTTTGAATGTTTTTTAGTACAAATTTTCTTGAGCTGGAAACCTTTGCAATATTTAGTTTCTCTATCTGCCTTCCGAATTTATCCTCTGCCCATCTTTTCAACTGGGAGGGAAGGGGAGGGGGTTGTCGCTCTCTTCTTGTTCATATTACAAATTGCCACTTTTGACTAGAGCCTTTCTATTCTCCTTCCTGCTTTCTACTAAAACTAATAAGTAATTAAGCTATCCTTGCAATTTCTGTAATTTTGTGCAATTTAACAGTTAATTTCCGAAAAGCTAACGTAATGATCGAATATGAGAAACCTTTTTAGAGGGAGAAAAAGAAAATGTACACAAATAAAAGTGTTAAGTTTCATTGGTTTTTATCGGTA